ATGTGATCACAAAAAATTAACGAACGAAGGTCACTTAGCTACTTTTTTATATAACTGTTAAACTACCAAAAAGGATATGCAGTAAGCAGGATTCGTCATTCATGATAATTTAACTATAGGATATACGTATATCCGATTATTTTCCAAGCTGATAGATTTATCGCTTTAGTACTTTAGTATTTACTGAAAAATTACAAACAGTGAGAAAAGTAAATAAACATAAACAAAAATGTTTGGGAATACAACTTGGTTTGACCAAAGGTTTGTCATAAGATTGACAATTGTCACATTACATTGACAATTGTCACATTAGTTTGACAATTGTCACATTTGGACGCGTCTTTGATACAAATGTTGGAGTCATCTTTATTCTATCATGATAATTTACTGTAATGGTGTATTTCTTGACGTCATGGAATGATCTAGAAGGTTATTCTTCTTATCAAATTTGGTAGTAAACAAAAAAGTAAGGTCTTACTTATTTCAGACCCACTTCAATAGTACAAACTCTCAATACTATTTTTAAAATAATTGTCTTTAATCAGTCGTACTCTCAAGTATGTTATGTTTAAAGCATATAAACACTTACAAGACGCGATTGGTACAGTCTGTGTCCTTTCCTAGCCATTTGATTGTATAAACCGTGGTGGGGCGGATCTTGCCCTAGCCCTTCTTAAATCGTACCTATTCGAATGTTAGGTTAGGGTTCAGAGGGTCGATGTCAACGACACGAGGTCGTCAAGATCTGCAGTTAGCATGAGCGTCTCTCGAGGTTCGATTCTACGTCCATTTTGAGGGGGAAACAATTAAATATTTAATGTAATGTATATTATGTTGACATTCCTTTACATACTTACTAAAGATGTTGCGCCAACTTGGCCACACGAGGTCAAAACAATAAATTTTTACTGTTCACATCACTGGCAGAAGGGCAAGTAAGTAGATATGTACGTACTTTGCCGCACACTAACCTAACAGTACGCATCGATGGATTACTTTGTTGCGGAAGTGTTAGTTTTCACTAACAACAAAACTCTTTCTTTTCTACAACGATTTCAAGGGCCCTGGTTCAAGGGTGGGCGTGACCTCACTTTAAGGCGCCGCACTTTTTCACTTATATACACTTCGTCGTTATTAGGGACTCTAACTCCGTAACTTGTATTACACCTCGCTGAGTTAGACTTAGGGTTCCTTCAAATCCAGTAGTGTAATAAGCGTTTAAAATGTATTTCATTATTATTAAACCTGTGGGTACGCAGATGCCCAAGAGCCAATGCATACATTTGTTAATAAAAAACCGACCTAAAAAGTTCGTGGAATTACATTTCATTCTCAGTTTTTTTTTTAATAACGCACACACTCAACATGGCCCCGCACTAGGGAAACCCTGTGTCGCGGGTGTCATGGACACACACATAGACAACCACAAATTACACCCAAACTCACGAGAGAAATAAATGTAGGCCATACAAATATTTCTCCCGACCCGGGAATCGAACCTGGGACCTCTGCGTGGCAGTCGGGCGTGGTAACCGTTCGGCCACAGAGGCAGTTAGTATTTAAAGTTTTAAAAAAAGTAAAAATTTTTGTTATATCATTTTATTGAAAACGGTAAGCAGAAAGTGAGCGAAACCAGATTCATCCCTAGATGCCACCCTTCGAGGAGGAATGCTTTCTTCAAATTTAAATGGGACCACTACTGAGGTACCCTCTTTCCAACAAAAAAAATAATCATCAATATTGGTTCACAAATGTTATGCCGGAGTTATCGCGTAACATACAATATAAAAAAAAATAGAGTTCAATGGACAACCTCATCCGCTTTGTTTGAAGTCGGTTAATAAAATATACTATTTTGTCCACATTAATTGCTTCCAGTTACGATTTAACGACACACATAAACAAAACTAAACGCATGTAAGTGAGTACACTCGGCACTCGTTAGGAAACCTTAAAGTGGCGACACCAATCTACATTAATTCACATTTTATTACCAAATTAACTATGACAATGTGTTAGAAAGAGACAGAGAGAGGTAAAGACGAGCAAATCATATTATTGTCTCATTCGAACGGTCCAAGTAAATTATTATTATACGCTTGTTTAGCTTGACAAGGTCAATTCTATAACGGTTCCGCCTTACAAGTGATCGAACTTATTTTTGCTCTCTAACTCTAATCAATGGCATTTGATTCAATTAAAGTTAACTATGTATTGCACCATTTTTGTTTACTAACAAGTCACCTTACAATAATAATTTTCATGGAAATGATTGAAACGTTGTCTAATATATAACAACCATCTCGTTAAATAAATACCAATGCACAAAATAAAATCACTGGTAATTATGGTAATTATTTAAAATTTGTGTTAATTATTTGCCTTTTACATTCCTCACGTTTTTAGTTTTACAAAATGATTTTGTCATTTTTAAAATGGAAAGCTACAGTTAAATATTCACTGTTTATTATATATTATCTTACTTCACTGTTTTACTTATATCTCTTACTAAAGCTTCAAGGTTAATATTAATCTTTTTATCATAATACCTACTCGTTTATAATAATAATATTGTTGTACCTATTCATTACTTCAATTCGACGATTGAGCTAAATAAATGCGTAGCATAAATGTGAACTGAAGGGTCAATAAAAACTACTATTTAAACATTGTTCTTTGAACCACCTAATATTTAAATACATCTTAACTGAATAGTGGTAAGCAAAAATTGGTGGATCCTCTCGAGATCTGAGAGGTTATATATATTTAGGGCAGTAACTTTTTAGTTTTTTCTATACAAAATCCAGGACGTGTTTTATAACTGATTTAGTATTTATTACTACTAGAATGAAGAAAACAGACCTTAAAATACACCATGCATACATACATTTCCTTGGGCACTTAACACTGTAAAGAATTTATTTTGGTTGATTGAATTAAAAAAAGTTGTTGGACAACTGAAATCTTCGGGCATGCGAATTCATTGCTAGATATGAATTTTATCATGTACTTCGGAACATAATGAACCTTGGTTAGGTAATTGCAAATCAACATTATCGACTTCGGAAAGATAGTATATCAAGCCAATCAGAATGTCAGGTGTAAACAAAATTCTGACTTAACGTAGTGCAAAAAATTTCATTATTTAAAGTCGCGGGGCTACCGGTACACGTCGTAGTCAATTGTCGTGTGCTGCTGGCTATAACAGAGCAATCACCTGGTAAAACGACAATGTCTCTAACTGCGACCTCATTGCCGAATGCCAAAACTAACCAGTATTATACGCTTCTCACCGTTCACGATTAAGTAGGTATTATTATGCTATTGCGCCATTTCGTTCGTTTACACATAGTATTGTGTAAGAGTCTACCTTAAATGTGAACAGATTGAACAATTTATGAAATAAGCGGCTATTGTAGCGTAATATTTTCAATTTAATTCATACTGACCAAGACCAAGTACAGGGATTTAATTTTAAATTGAATTTAGTTCTTAAATATCAAGTTTGGCGTGCATTTGCCTGTAGTCATTAACCATCCATAATAATGGATAAGTAGTGTCAATAATAAGAATAACTAGGAACTACGCTTGACAAAGTATTAACATTAACGGTTAGGGAATAATCGGAGTTCATTAATGCAACATACAAAATCCAAAAACGAAAGGTACAGTATTCAGAGTCCGACAAACATGAAAAAACCACACTTACGAGTGAAGGGCGATGCTCTTAAAAATAAGTCAATATTCATAATTACTATCTTAATAATCAGACACTTCAAAGAGTATCCGAGGTGAGAGATCGGGGGTGCTGTTAACTTTGACATTCTACTATGAAACGAGGTTTTAGTTTTATATTTAAACGATATAGCTATATTAAGGAACACTGACTTATATTGTTATACAACGCTATAGAAAGATCTAATCTAGAGAATGCTTCCACTGCTTAGAACCCCAACTATAATAAACAAGTCGATATGATCGAAAGAGTGCAAAATAAATTTGTTAAAAGATTGTAGTATAAATATTGGATATATAAACCTACAAAAATGATATCATTGCATAAATGAAGAAATCTTATGGAACAAGTTTTTCTTTTCAGAATTATTAATAATCACATTGACTCTACATATTTATTTAGCCAAATGTCATTGAAATGTCCAAGACCCAACCTACGTCCGCGAGGCCCATTTGCAGTACCTCATTGTCGCACTAATTATTCTAAGAATAGGTTCCTTGTACCCAATTTAATAACGAATATCAAGAAATTAATATATTTGACAATAAGCCATTCCGATTGAAATCTGCCATTAGGAAGCTTTTATTAATACAATTATTATATAGTTAATCGATCGAAGGAATTTTTCTCAATGTTCGCTCTTTGTGTTAATACTTATAACAAACTAGTGGAGTAATTTCACATAAAATAATTGAATATCGTGGTAGTTGAACATCGTGATAATTCAATAAACTGAAATTATAACTAGTGACTTATAATTTGTTGCTTACTGGTACCTAATTATTACGTTAGAGTTGATGGCTGGTTATAACCAGCTATGTACAAATTTATCTAGGGATCCAACGTAACTCGTTGTAAACATTAGTGGAAACTGTTTCCGCTAGTGTTTGTTTAACACATATGAGTATTAAAAATGAAATGTGTATGTATGTTTCCCAAATAAACAAAATAAATAAAAATTAAATAAAGAAGGATAAGAGATTATAGGTAGGTATATGCACTACGTCACAGATATTTGTGATAGTAAAGTTATTCGGTGTCACGTACTTTATACTTAATAATAAATAATAATACTTAATAGATTTAACTTTAAATACAGCCATTTGTCGGCACACCTGATCCGCTCATCAATTTCATCATCGATAATTATGTTTCATTTCGTAAACAGAGCGGCAAGCGCACGCCGGCGCCGGCGCCGGCCACACCGCGTCGACACGCCGCGTAAGCCTCTGCGCGAACTTCAGTTAACTAATACAACACAATTAAACAAAATCCATATATTTAATCAACAACAGCCCTAAAAACCAATACAAAAATCTCAAAAAATTACAAACAATAGGTATAAATAACACTATCCTTTAAACTAAACTAGACGAACCCACGCAGAGGCGGCAAAAACACCATAACACTGTATATACACTTGATTTGGGAAATAGGTTGACGAAATGGCCCGGGCCAAACGTTCAGATGCACACGTTCGAGGAGCTAGCCGAATAAGTAGGAGTAGAGCACCGTCATAACGATGCCCAGCACCAGCGGAAACTTCCATGAACCGACAAAGGTGGACTCGTTCTCAGTCTTGTTGTCCTCCCAGTTGAGAGAGCGCCGCTGACGCTTGATATGGTCCTCTGGGACGAGCTCGCCGATCTTGAATTTCTTCATGAGCTCCTTGGCATCAAGGCTGTGGCCGATGTCGTCAAAGTCTTCTGAAGCGTCCTTACCTGCCACGTTCACCAGTACCTCGTGCCCGCCCGGATGCTCATCAATAAACTGTGTCACGTCGTACACAATGTTGTCGATGATGAACACCGCATCCTTCTTGGTATTTCTCTCGGAGATTTCCTTCCTGGTGAACTGTTTGGCCATGGCGACGGCGTAGGCGCGCATGCAATGAGCAAATCAGTCGGCCGCGACTTGCGAACTGGCGGCGCGGCGGGGCCTCTCGAGCGTCCCTCGTGCGCGCAATCCCCTCTACTCGCGTGATAACGCTCGCTATCGTGTCCGTTGGTCACCGTGATTCGGCCATTATTATATAATATTTAAGAACGACGTTGTTATACAGGTGACCCCAGAGCTCTGCGAGATTTTTGAACTTGATTCTACTTACCGATATTGACAGATTTTGCTATGGGTATACTCTCTCTGTAGGTATAAACATTTCTGTATATGTAAGTACTTTAGGAGGGCTTTAATATCATACTATTTTAATCGGCACGGTACCTAATTTGTTGCAGGCAAATTGTGTGCAGTCCTGAGACCGCAAAGAAGGAAAACTAAAGTTGAGCGACACTTGACGTCGTAACTAATGCAGTAAATGAATTTGTTATATCTACTAACTTGTGTAAACCCGACCATGACTGTAAACAGAAGAAAAATGGCCCGACTGTTTTATTTGGGGCATTATAATCAAGTTAGCCTGCATACAATCATACTATTTACGTGCAAGTGTGATGAAAAATTTTGTGTTTCACGGGCGGTATGGGAATTACGAACCTCGACTCCGAAAGCCTTCAGTCATCAATTTCGGGCCTCTAATAGAGTCTCGTTATTATTTATTGTTTACCGCCCTTAATACAAGGCTTATGAGGATCGAGATCGCAAAATCAAATTATATGTCATGGTATGAAAAATTGAAGCCTCGTCGACCAGTGCCCCGGACCAACTCACCTTGCGCGGTCACTTGCACTGTGCACATGCAAAAGTGATATAAAAGTGCACTTGTCTGACTAACGCCGCGCCGCACTGTGGACCCAAACTGATAATTATAATTTTACGCTGACTAATAAAATTCTGACAAATTTTAATCTTTTTTTTTAAGTATATTTTCAACTACATAATTCACAATAAATGTCCACGAACGATCAATTTTGGTTTACTGTGCGCCACTACGCCGCTCTCCGATTAATTGACATAATGTATAAAAATAACTTCTTAATATGATTATTATTTATTATTATTAATTTATTTCTTTGGTTCGCACTAAGAGTTTATTTTTATGGGATGCCCACCGTACTTTTTGCATTAACATTAACGCATTGCTATAATATAAAATAACCAGCGCTGATTGCTAAGTATTCGCCGGTAGATACCTAACTATGACACACAATAAATTACAAAGGTTTTTTACACACTCAGATGGCCACTTGTGACACAACAGATAGTATACATAAATACAATTAGATACCCAACATTTATTTCATTTAAGTGCACTAACGACACCGTCTGCATCTCTTGTTTGTCTATGAGTACATTGCACAAATAAAAGCCTCTCTACATTATTATAAGTACATTTAACTATGACACAAACAATTTCCTTCACTAACTACATCACTTCACGCTCGATAGGCATAGAATTTTAAGATGTTGAAGTTTAAGAGGTGGCTCAAAACAGAAAGCGCTAGAAGAGGTAGATGAAGATGAAGTAGGCCACCGCAGCGAACGCCAGTGGCGTACTGGCCACGGCCGCCAACCCTTGCAGCGTGAGCGGTTCGTCACGGTCGGACCCGCCCGTCTTCGGGGCTCGCACCGGCCAGCACTCTGCCTCGGCCACCTCGCCAACCTTAAACCGCGAGCGCCAAACACGCGCGTCGTCGCTGTGCCCCACGTCATCGAAGCACTTCGAGGCGTCGCGGCCCGCGTTGTCTAGCAGTACTTCCGCACCTCCCGGATGGTCCTCTAGGAAAGGAGTCACGTCGTACACGATGTTGTCAATAATAATGAACGCGTCTTGCGGCGAATTGTGCGCCTCCACCTCCTGCCGCGTGAATTGCCGTGCCATGATGCATCCGCGCCGCTCGCCTCGCCGCTGCCAACTACGAGGTGTCGCGAGTCGCTGTCGACGATCGTACCTCCCTAATTGACTAACAAATCGTATGACCCCTTTGAGCCGGACTGACCGCAAAACGGTTTCTGTTAGCGTCCTATATAATTTTGTATATAATTTTGTGACGTGTCAATTTTTTGTTAAATTAAAATAGTTTTAAAGCGACTAGGGCCCAAAACTCGTTATTTCTGGTAAAAAGAACCCGACATTGTAATTTTTTAATTGACTTTTCGTGTCGCGACTGATGAATGGGATTATTAAATTAGGAATCACAATCAAGAAGAAAATCACAATAAATTTATGTTTTGTATAAAGACATTATCTGTAATGCAAAGCATATACCTACGTTTTAAGTAGTTTTAATTCCATGCTCTGATTTTTGCAGTTGGTGGGGTCTACTCGCGATCTCCGTCCGAAACAATTACTGTCAAATAAGTAATATTCGACAAAATTAAAAGACAAGAATCAAGTTGAATCTTCATTCGCATCACGCGTCTTTTGATTTGGTCAAGTATTGCTTATTTGGCAGTAATTGTTTCGGACGGATGTCAGACGGAGATCGAGAGTAGACCCCCTGTTTAGGAAACTGCCACACAGAGTTCTATTGCGGTTTTTACTAATATATTAGCAAAACACGTTTTTTGTTAGAAACGTGTAAATACCACTCCAACGTCAACCTAAATGCACAATTTAGATGCCTAGCTAGATATCTAGCTTACATACATCCAAATGAGGTAAAGGTAGAAATATACCTAGAAGAGTACGATGACAGTACACTGTACCACATATGATATTTAGGCTTATATTGTGATATAAGCCTAAATATCATATGTGGTACAGTGTACTGTCATCTTCACTTAGCATTGGTAGGTAAGTACCTACCGACTCGCGTTGCACAAATGCCGGTAAGAAAGATTATGAAAATAACTTCGTAAAGACAAAGTCATGAAAGCCATGTAATTTAAAATGACCTCGATGGTTAACTTTTCGTCCATCTTACTATTACACGGCCCGAATAAAAAAATTGTAGCCGTCACATCGATAGTGAGCGTAAACATTAAACGACTTTTGCCCTTACGACATAATTAAACTCTTACATGCGTTAAATACCTATTTAACACACAGGTTATACATACCTAAGCACCTGCTTAGGTATGTATAACCTGTGAAAGTTATTTACCTGATTTCATTTGTGTTCGAACCAAAACTATCGATTTTCAATTTTATCAATTGAAATAAATAGTGACGTTAATTCTCTACATTGTAAGGATTCAAATAAATACGCAAATTCTTAGTGACCGTCAGGATGGCTGGTCGCCTGTGGCGCCTGGCACTGAGTGTAAATTCAAGAAAGCTACTTATGATATATTCTGAGAAATTAAAAAAATTTTGACCAGCCATTTATTTTATTATTGATACTTATCAGTGGGAACGAATGCAACCGTTAAGTAAACGTATCAAGTTAAATCATGGACCTGAGACTGTGTTTAGAATGAAACATCGCTTGCCCAAGCATCAGTGCGCCCATCTTTTGCGCGAAAAGATTTGGGAGGTTCACCACATTGCACACAGTTGGATATTTAAACAGTATTCTACTTCTAGAAATAATAAAATAACGTACAATGGAATTCGCAAAGAATGTGAGGCTAACACAAGAGTAAGTGCACTGTAACAAACTACGATAAAGATTTTGTTCATACTTTTGGTAAAAAATTAAAACTATATATTTTTTTAAACAAATGTACCTATAATTACAACTAAATTCTTTGTTAATATTGCGTTATGATGGTTACCTACCCTCTCGGTTTTATACATCAGACACCCCACCAGACTAATTCGCCTCGAAGTAATTGTTAAACGCCTGCCCTTTATATTATGGCAATAAAGGACCTAAAAACTTTTGCTTTTTTAGTTTAGTCAGGCACTATTTCGTAAAATTTTCAATCGGTTATATTTTTTTTATTAACGTAGATATGAAGCGTATACCTTTAATTCGTTAAGGTAGCAAATAGGTAGCAATTATTTACAAATAACATATACATACTTCTGGAAAATCTGCTCCCTTCGTGCTGAACAAAGAGGCGACCAGCCATCCTGACGTCAGAATAACTGGTAATTTTTTTTTAATTTCAAAGAATATATCATAAGTAGCAATTATTTAGAAAAGGTAGCAAATAGGTAGCAATATTAGGAGGCAGTTCGTAATATACGGGATGTAACCAGTGAAGGAAGAGTACGTTATAAGAACCCATCTCCAAATACAAATGATACCAATGAAAATAAAGACAAAGAAAAAGGCAATGGAAATGATTGGACTGAAGTTAAGACGAAGAAAAATAGATACGTAAGAAATGAAGTACACAAAGATGGAAGTACGGGCATGGAAATTCAGGGTATAGAAAAGAATAAATTTCTACATGTTTGGCGTTTAAAAAAAGATACCACCATTCAAAATTTAGAAAGTTACGTAAAAAAGGTGTGTGGGAAAGATATTACAGTTAAAATTGAAAAATTGAAGCCCAAAACCGAAAGAGATTATTCTTCATTTATGATAGGAGTACCAGAGAGCGAGTATCAAAAATTGTGCAATCCGGAAGAGTGGCCACTAAATGTCGAATTCAGTGAGTGGCAGTGGTTTCGAAAACCGTACGACAAACCGAAGTAATATTAGAAAACCAATTGAAATTTTTTATCAGAACGTAAGAGGTCTTAGGACAAAGTTAGAAGAGTTTTGTACGAGTCTGTCGTCTTCAAGTGCGGACTTATTCGCAGTTACTGAAACCGGTTGTTATGAATCTATAATGGACGCAGAATTAGCACCGGTGGGGTACCAGATCTTACGTTGCGATCGAGCGGACGGACGAAAACAAGGCGGCGCGTGTTTCATGGCCACACCGCGTTTTGAACTGCGAAATGTGTCAATACCGGGTGACGTCACATTGAATGAACGAAAGTTTGAACTCGCGTGTGCTGCAATATACCTGCGCGAGCGTTTTTTGTTTTTATCATGTATTGTTTACATTCCGCCGCGAAGTGAAGACGAGGAATATATGATACTTTTTAGAATAATAGAACAGTTGTGTACTAAGTATAATAATATCATAGTAATGGGTGATTTTAACTTATATTCGTGTAATGTTAATATTCGGAACTATTTTGAATGTTTTTTAACATATTGTGAATTCACACAGTGTAACAATGTAGCCAATTGTAACAATCGTCAGTTGGATTTGGTTTTATGTTCGGTTGGTGAAAGATTAAGTGTTGAAGTGAGGGCAGCCTCCGAGTCGCTGGTGCCGCTGGTGGACGGGTACCATCCCCCACTTGAAATATCAGTGCTAGTGTCGGGTCGTGATGCTGGCGCTCCGCGTACCCATGTCGAGCCGGTTTCTCGTCCCACAAACCACAGTGAAACTTTAATAAAGGTAATTACCCATTATTATATTCGTCGATTAGCGATATAGACTGGGGGCAATTATATAATCTAAGTAATGTGGAATCTATTTTGAATTTTTTTTAAAATAGTCTTAGAGAAATTTTTGATAACTGTGTTCCGTTAAAAAATATTCAAATTGGTCGGCAAACACGGTATGTTTACCCGCAGTGGTACAATTCTATCTTGATTAGTGAAATAAAATATAAAGCTATGCTTCACAAGCGATATAAAGCTAGTAAGCTACAGACAGATTACGAGACGTTCGCTCAGTGCAGGGCAAGAGTAAAAGTTATGATTAAACATGCCTATGAGCAGTACAGGGACAGGATACAAACCCACTTAACAGAGGACCCCAGATCCTTTTGGAACTATGTAAAATCTAAAAAACTGAATCATGACGGTTCAAGAAAAATATCGAAAGATGGGATGGTTTTAACGGGGGAACAAAGTGTTAATGAGTTTGCAAAATATTATCATTCAGTGTACAGAACGGACCGAGCACAACTAAATGCTGCCGCTGCTGTAGCTCAGACGGAGGGTTCGAATGGGTCGGCGCTAGTGCATGTGCAACAACTGACATCGAGTGACGTTCTGAGGGCGCTCGCTAAACTTAAGCCGAAGAGATCAGCTGGTCCTGACGGCATCCCGGCATTTGTATTTAGGGATTGCAGGTTTGTGCTGGCAGAGCCACTTGCACACATTTATAACATGTGTTTAAAATCAACACTTTTTCCGGAAATTTGGAAAATAACTCGGGTGATTCCAGTTCCGAAGGGGGGCTCTGGAGATAGGGTAGACGGATATCGTCCAGTAGCAGTTTTATCGACTCCTGCCAAAGTGTTCGAATCGGCCTTGCAGTACTGTATTTTACAACAGGTTAGTTCACAATTATCTGAGGCGCAACATGGATTTCGGCCAGGTATGAGCAACACCAGCAATCTCGTGAACTATATTACCGAACTCATACCAGCAATTGACAGTGGAGGCCAAGTAGATGCCGCATATTTTGATTTCCGAAAAGCGTTTGATGTCGTAGACAATGATATCTTGCTTAGGAAGTTAGCTGGCATTGGATTTACGCCTCATCTATTGCATTTTTTTGCGAGTTACATGAATGACAGACAGCAGTACGTTGAGTATGGTGGGCATCAGTCCGAACCTTATTTTGTGAGGTCAGGGGTAAGCCAGGGCAGTAATCTGGGTCCTCTCCAGTTTGTAATAATGGTTAATGACCTGCCGAGGCTCATTCGAAATTCAAAATGCTTATTATTTGCAGATGACCTAAAAATTTTTCTTCCGATCGGTAGTGCAGCGGACTGTGCATTATTACAAAACGATATTAATAACGTAGTTTCATGGAGTGAGCAAAATAAATTACAGTTTAATACGTCGAAATGCGTTACGATTTCGTATACTCGTAAACATATTCCCGTTAGTTACGATTATAAAATAAACTCTGCAACATTACAGCGGGTAAATGAAGTTAAAGACTTAGGGGTTCGGTTTACGTCTGAGTTAAAGTTCCAGGGCCAC